CCTTATATATCTTTCTACTTTCTACCACCACTCCCTGGGATTAAAGGCTGGCTTTCTGGGATTAAAGGCGTGTCACCATGCTTGGCTGTTTCTCCAATGTGGCCTTGAACTCACAGAGATCCAGAGGGATTTCTGTCTCTGGAATGCTAGGATTAAAGGCGTGTGCTATCACTGCCTAACTAGTGGCTTGTCTGTTCTCTGACCCCAGGTAAGTTTATTAAGGTACACAATATTTTGGGGAACACAATACCCCCACATGTCCCTAATGCTTGATCTGGCTTTTGGGAACCTATTCCCCATGCTGGGTTGCCTCGCCTAGCCTTAATACGAAGGGAGGCGCTTAGTCCTACCTCAACTTGATATGCCATGCTTTGTTGACTCTCATGGGAGCACTGCCCTTTCTGAACAGAAACAGAGGAGGAGTGGATGGGGTGGGGGGCAGAGGTGAGGCCCATGGAGGGAACGGGAGGGGAGGAGGGAGAGGAAATTGTGGTCAGGATGTAAAATAAATGAAAAAAAAATTGAATTAAAAATAACAAGGCCGGGCGGTGGTGGCGCACGCCTTTAATCCCAGCACCTGGGAGGCAGAGGTAGGCGGATCTCTGTGAGTTTGAGGCCAGCCTGGGCTACCAAGTGAGTTCCAGGAAAGGCGCAAAGCTACATAGAGAAACCCTGTCTCGAAAAACCAATAAATAAATAAATAAATAAATAAATAAATAAATAAATAAATAAATAAATAAAAATAAAAATAACAAAGATTGAGCTGTAGGCAAGCCTGTAGGGTATTTTCTTAATTAGGAATTGATGGGGGAGGACCCAGCTTATGGTGGGTGGTACCATCCCTAGACTGGGTTCTGGATTCTGTAACAAAGCAGGCTGAACAAATCCTGAGAAGTAAATCAGTAAGCAGCACCCCCTCCATGGCCTCTGCATCAGTTTCCACCTCCAGGTTCCTGCCCTGTTTGGGTTCCTGTCCTGACTTCAATGATGGACTGCGATGTGGAAGAGTAAGCCAGACAAACCCTTTCCTCCCCAACTTACTTTTTGTTATGGGTTTCATCACAGTGGTAGTGTCTTTAACTAGGACACATGGTTGCCAGGAGAGCAACCCAGGGAGGTTGGGGGATGCCCAGATGTTCCTTGGGAAAGGGTTTCCATACTTCTCGATGGTGCACATAACAACCGACACTCCTGGACTTAAACTGCCAGGACTGAAAGTCAACATCTGGGTATCAAAGCTAAGGAAGATGTGGATCTTCCTCATCAGACATGGCCCTTGCCTCTCAGGAAGAGGCTGACCTTTGCAGGACAGTGGCCTTTAGATAATTGGTGGAATTTCTGAAGTTTTTGCTGGTGACTGAGTAGAGATGCTAAGGCCCACACCAGATCACTAGAGTGAAAGGTGATTCTTAAAGAGGGAAAATGAAAATCACTTCTCCTTCCTGGCAACCCCAAAGTAGGAGAAGCATGTCCTGAGGCCAGATGTTCATTGGCTCTGCCCTGGGCTCAGCTATGCAGAGAATCCTGACCATCCATCATACCATGTCCATCATGCCCTTTAGACCTACAATGTTCTGCATCAGGGAGGGGGTTAGAGGAAGGATGGTGTGATCATGGAGGGAGAAGCAGGGGGGTGGAGGCTGGGAGGAGATTAAAGGAAATCAGGAAGGGGATTTGCAGCTTCTTAGGAAAGTCTTTATGCTTTTCTTACAGACCCTTGCTTCCTGGGAGTCCAACAGTGGTATGAACACAAAGGATTTCTTGCATCCTCATGAGTGAATGTATTTTTTATTTATTTTTATTTTATGTGCATTGGTGTTTTGCCTGAATGTATGTCTGTGTGAGTGTGTCAGATCCCCTGAAACTGGAGTTACAGAGAGTGAGCTGTTATGTGGATGCTAGGAATTGAACCAAGGTCCTCTGGGAGAGCAGCCAGTGCTCTTAACCACCTAGCCATCCCTCCAGCCATGAGTGTATTTCTGCATAGGCACTATCTCTGTCCAGTGATCCTGTGGCTAGGGATAGATAGGCCAACAGAAAGAACAAGAATATAGCTATTTAAACTCCAGTTTCAGTGCTTCTGAAACCCTCATACAGACATACATGTAGGCAAAACACCAATGAATATAAAATAAAAGTTACACACACACACACACACACACACACACACACATCAAACAAACCAAAACCAAAAAAAAATATAGCTATTTATTTTATTTTTAATT